ACCACCACCACCACCACCACACCGCTACGACTACTATTTCTTAAGACCAATAATCAACAGTGAGAAGAAGAATCGGAATAGTACCTAAGATGCTTGCCCTGCCTCAGCGAGGTGCACGCGGGCTTTGGCGACGCATGGCTCCGAGTAACGCTGTCGCCGATGTTTGCTAAGTGATTCTGGACCAGAGAATGTTATCGGCTTTCGCCAAGGTTCGACGTGGTGTGCAGACGGCTGAGGAATCATTGGATCTTTTCAAGCGGATCGAGGCCGGCATGGTCTTGCTTTCAGCTGGTCTTCTTCGGGCTAGAAGTGCTCAACTGCCTTTGCAATGCTGCCATGCCGTCAGAAACTGTCGGGCAACGCAGCCAATCGATTGGCGACGGTTCTTCTCGCACGGTTTCAGACTTCAGGATCCAAAAGGCCAAAGCGATGCCTACGCCGTTCTTGCTCGAGCGACGAGCCAAGTTCTGGTGTGTTGTGGTTGCCGGATCCTCGAGTACCGATGTGGGTCAGTTACCCAGAGACTCCAAAACCCCTTAATTGAGGAATATACCTTAAATATGGATCCCACCATAATTTAAGGTATATTCCTGAATTAAGGGGTATTGAAATCTCTGAGTAGCTTGGATGTCTAAGGTTCAGATGCTCGAAGAAGGGGGCGATGCCGAGGAGCGGAACTTGTAGCCACTCCCGCAAGCTTTCCATGGTGAGCAGCATGTCAAGGCCCAGGTTCCAAGCAAATCAACTAATTAAGGAATGTACCTGAAATTATGGTAGGATCCCTAATATGATTTAAGGTATATTCCTTAATTAAGCTTTCAATTCAATGCCCTCTTTTGGTGAGGAAGCCGCCGCTGCGGCCGAGAAGTCCTACCAGCTGGTGAAGCGGGCGCGGAAAGGACAGCTGCGAGGGAAGGGTGTTTAGTTCAGTGAGGTCAGGGCTCCACGGTCATGACCATGGGAGCCCAGGGACTCCAAAGCCCCTTAATTAAGGAATATACCTTAAATTATAATAGGATCCCTAACCTGATTTAAGGTATATTCCTTAATTGAGGGGTTTTGGAGTCTCTGGGAGCCCTCAACCCTAAACCCTATACCCTAAACCCCTGCAGGCTGGGCGACGCGTCCGGCGCCAAGACAGCTCTCCAAATCTGCCCGGCATGACTTCCGCAAACTAGGGTTTAGGGTTTCGGTTGAGTTTAGGGTTTAGGGTTTAGGGTTTAGGGGTTTAGGGTTCAGGGTTTCGGGTTAAGGCCGCATCGAAGTGACCTCCCTGCAGCTCTTGGCCGAAGCCGGGGCCGGGAACTCGAAGTCGAATTCGAAGATGCTACAACATAGGAGTATATGGGAGTTTCCGAAAATAGAGGACCCTAATCTAGTACCCTAAATAGTAGGACCCTTACTATAAGGACCCCAAAATAAGGTACCCTTAATTTCCGGAAGCTCCCATATACTGCAATCTGCGAGAACACACAGCAATATACCACGATATACCATAATATGCTGCAGCATACGATAATATACTATACCATAATATGCTGTCTCGGAGAGCTTTGCTGATGAACAAGGTGGCAAAGCTGGTCAAGCTAGCTGGCGATGAAGATGTCCAGGACCGGTTTACATCTTGCTGGACCTCGCCCCGTGCAAGAGTTGCCAGGTTGACAAAAGCCCTGTTCATGGAGGGCATAACGGGTTGTTTAGAGACAGAGATATTCAAGGCTCTTGTTGCTCTGCGTGTGCTAGTTCATGCCAGCTCATTTTGTTGTTGGTGTATTTGCCTGTGTTGTAGTTTTATTAGTTCTTCTGATTCTTTGTGTGTCTGCATGTGTTTCAGTGCCCGTGTGTTTGTGTCTTTGTCTGCACGTGCATTTGCTAGTTCAGTGCAAAGGACAAAAGCCAGGAAGAGCAGGACATGCTCCAGGGCATTTTTGACAAGGTGCAGATGCTTGGGAAAATCCGTGGCTTGCGCAGGGGGAGAGTGTAACTAGCCCCTGCCGGGACTTAACACCCCAAGCTAACCGTGCACTCTGGTGCGCGAGTCATCAGTTCGGAAGCGCTAAAGTCTTGGTTGTTGCAATGAGTCTTCACCCACGGATGCGGTCGGCGTGGAGCGATTCTGTTTCTTGCAGGCACATCGCGCCGCTGAGATGGCCGTCGACCGTGCCAGTTCCATGGACGATCGCCGAATGGAGGTGGGCTGCGCATTCGAAGGGAGTGTCAGACGGACTGCAACGTCGAAATTTCGGGACAGAAGTGACCGTCACAACAAAGAAATCCTTGGGCTTCAATCTCGGGAACACACGGAACCCTTTGAGAAGCCCTGGACCCGAAACCCTAAGCCCCCTTGACCCCCCTAAACCCTAAACCCTAAACCCCTCTTCGAGGCGAGTGCCATGCGCACTTTGGCGAACGTCTGTCTCGTTTGTAGCGACACGGAGACCGCTGCGGAAGCGGCCCGTGAGGCCCTGAAGATTGCCCAGGAGGCGGGGTTTCGCAGTTTTTCATGGTCGATTGTAGGACATTATAGTATGTTGTAGTATTTTACAATAGGTTATAGTATATTATGGCATATGATAGCTCACTATCGCATATTGTAGTATACTATAGCATGCTATAGCTTATGGTAGTATGTTATGGTACACTAAACCCTAAACCCTAAACCCGAAACCCTAAACCCTAAACCCTAAACCCCAAAAAAGAATAGATTATCTCGCTTGTAGCCTCTTAGTGTTTTAGGGCGTAGGCGGTGCAGAAGTTGAGAATTCTGGAGCCGGGAGAGACATGAGCTTTGAACCCTCTGCTTAGGGGCTTAGGGGGTTTAGGGGTTTCGGGGTTTAGGGGTTTCGGGGGGTTAGGGGTTTTGGGGTTTAGGGGTTTAGGGGGGTTTAGGGGTTTTAGGGGTTTTGGGGTTTCGGGGTTTAGGGGTTTAGGGCGTTTAGGGGGTTTAGGGGTTTAGGGGTTTAGGGGTTTAGGGGGTTTAGGGGTTTAGGGGTTTAGGAGTTTAGGGGTTTAGGGGTTTAGGGGTTTAGGGGTCTTTGGGGTTTTGGGGTTTAGGGGTTTAGGG